TTAAGCTTTTTATAGTTTTTGACTTTTAACTCAAGTTTGGTTAGGAATTCTGACATGACTCTGAGGCAAAAGTGGTTTGCATTGTTATTCTGCATGGCATACTTTTTTTTCAGATTTTTTTTTTTTTCTTTTTTTAATGGTCCGGACATTTCCGGACCTGTCCAGACTTCCGGACCGTCCGGATCCCCCCATGTCCGGAGGCCCGGAAATGTCCGGAATTCTGGACGTCCGGAAACTACCGGACACGGGTCCGGTTCCATGTCCGGAAATGTCCGGGTCCGGGTCCGGCGTAGCCATGGTTTTTTTTTTTTTTTTTCCTGTGTGACCCTATTTTATCAGGTGCGGCACATGGCGTGCACGCCCTGCATGCGCCGGTATGCTGCAGACCTATGCTGTCACTGTCACTGTATTTGCTTGGAGGAGCGATGTGGTGGCGTAAGTACATCCATGAGCGCAAAGGAAGAACAGTAGCGATTGATTACGAAATATCTATCCCTTATAAGTTGGAATCGAATTACATGCTCCTTTGGTTCCTCGTCTTTTTATTTCCTTTGGAATTTCTTTTGTCAATCGATGTGATAATGGACTGCGATGATTGCAGGTTCTGCAGAAGGTCACTTTGCGAAAGGTTCAGGACTTGATGTCGGAACTAGGAATGCGGAACACCGATGTTTCTTTGTCACAACGGCAGGTTGGTGAGAGATATTCTGGAGTAAACGATGAACTCAGACTATGAAATGCCAAATCTCTTCAGAGTTTTGTCAGGATTTTTTTTTCAGTGACAAATTTTCAGTTTTTTCTGTGGACCTGTGGTTATAATATACTGCTGGTGACTCAGATTTTCCAATATGGCTGCATGTTTTAAAGAAAGGGGGAAAACAACTACTGCTGGATGCCGGCGACACCTTTTTTGCCTGTTTGTTCTATAACAGCTGGACGTCTCTCTTTGTGTTTAATGTTTCGTTAATGAAAGAAACGTGGGATAGCTCTCATTTCTTTTTCCCCTTCGCGAGGCTACAGGCCTTGGTGGGCCCAAAAAGGGGCTGGTGGTGACAAAAGTCCCTGACCCGAAGAGAAGGTCGTGGCAGCAGAAAGGAGGCCGGCCTTAAGAGAACGCCACAGTCGGAAGCTATGAAACACCCGTGGACGCGTCCGCGGGGTCAAGCTCAGAGGGCGGACGTGAACACGGCCGCCGCGGCTCCGGCCGCGGTTGGGTGCGGCCGCGACTTTCAGGAATTTTTTGTGACCTTAAAAATTTATCAAAAAAAAAAAATAAAAAAAAATGGGATTGTAGATCTTTTCGAGATCTAAATTGCGCAATTTTTTTTTTTTTTTT